TGTCGAATGTCGCACCCTTAGGTGTAGCCCATCCCCTTGGCTATTCTCAGGATCTATAGTTAACACTTGGTAGTCCAGAGTTATAGAGGCATACATTGATCACGAGTCGGTGAGCGGAAAGTCTTACGCTTTGCTGGTATGATTTGCTATTTGATCCGGTTTCGAAGACACAAAGTGCGAATACATCACAGTCAAATTCTTTCGTCCTTTGTGAACTCACAACAGCTTCACTCTGAAATTCCTAATGTCGAAGGCTTGAAACAAAGGTCAGCTGAAGAGACAAACTGCCGTCCACCACAACAGTGACCAGTGAATCTGGAACTCAAGTGTTTGTCCTTTTTGAGGTGATAGACACTTGATCCACTTGACTAACTCAATGTGTGAACAAAATTATTCGCCTTAACGATTACATGCGGCTAGCAAAACAGGATTTATCACTGGCCTTGTCCTAACCGCCGACTGCCTTCAATAAACATTCCATAAACATTTCCATATTGTTTGCAATAAATGCGAAGATATTTGCCTCACTTGTCTGTCACTCATTCCATGAAAGTTTAGTGCAAAAAGGAGCTCAGTAATAATACCTGTGTGATATTTGTGAAATGAACGGGAAATGTCAAGTTATGTTACGAGTTCACCACACAATCACTGGTGTTTGCTCTGATGTTTTTGTTTGGATTTATGGTGCATTTTATCAGTTTGTTCAAACAAAAGTATTTAACACAAAAACAAATTGAACATTCATTTCTTGGTTTCTCCATGGGTCCTTTTACAACTTTCTGGATTGAAAAACAGTTCTTATTGTACATCGTCCGTTACACACGAAGTCATCTGATGTGTGGATATTGTGATAGATTTTATGTCAGCATCTTCATTCATCTTTCCGTCTCAAGCAAGTTATGTGCAAGCCCCATTACTATTGAACTCACCTTCATTAAATGGAAAGCTGAAGTTGTTTTCCGGGTTTGGTCGCCTGACGAAGGCTGGAACATGGTAAAATCAAATCGGGTCTGAAAGTAGGACAGTGGATGAAAGCGGAACGATCGCCTGAACTAAGTGCGTAGGATACCTTGCAATGCGGTTGAGCATCAAGTGAATCAGGCGTTAATTGAGACCTAACTAGTCAACCAATCAAACTGAATAAATGACTACCGAGCTAACCAACTAACCAACGAGCTAACTGAATAATTACCTATTCGAACAATTTGATAAACGTATTTTATAGTTAACTGGTGTCAAATTGGCATACCAATTATATTAGAAAATGATAATTTTACTCTCTGCATTAGCATTGATATCACGAAATTTTTTTGACACATTTCAGATGTTAGTGGTAACAAATAAAAACATTGCTGTGGTAATGCCCACTACGAATAGCATTGTGTTTTACCCTCGTTTATTGACCAGCTACAACCCAATGTTAAGACAAACAACAAATTGGTTTTGCAGGCTTTTACCTATCAATCTAGGTGGCTGTCTTGTTTTGTTCACACGGGATAGACTCGCAAATTGACCGCATTCTTTGGTGAAGAAGCGACCACGTTACCGTACAGACACAAAATAAATGAGTGTTTTCGACTCCTAATTCGTTCATCTGCAGGATAGTCTGAGGTTGATTGTAATCTCGTCCAGGGTACATGTGAGACCACTAATCTATCGATCGCCAGATGAAAAGTGAACACCATATCAATCGGGATAATTTACGTTTATGCTAGTAGTTGCAATTGCTTGGTACACAATAACGCCCGTCAGACATTAGTTACACAACCATGATATCTATTGAACAATCAAAGTTCTCATTTGAATCCCTTCGTACTCATGTTCGCGTTTTCTTGCACGGCAAACTTTCATGTCTGCAATGAGTGTTGTCTCTCGAGAATCGTACTACATAAGAATTAGCCAAATATTCACTCGGGCACGTATGTTTACGTTCTCCTGGCGTTTTAATTCACATGGCAGGCTTGGTTCGTGAAATATTTCAAAGTAGTTATTTTATTCTGGCAGTGATTTACTGTAATATCATCCAAGTCATTCAGACTGGATGGAAATCTTGTTTACAGAACTGGTTACTTAGGAGAATAGTGGATAAACAACCTACCCCGTGGTCTCCGGTGTTTCGTGTCCCACATTCTGTGACGAACTGATCCATAACCAACTGTGAAACCGAAAAGGAAATCCGGGAATACGAATTAGCTGTGGATACTGGAATGGTGAGTCCGGTTGCTCACTAAGATACAAACCCTCGGATTGGAAACGGATGAACTGGAATAGTTTTTTGGTGTACATGAGTCAAATATGTACTTCCCCAGGGAGCTAAATTGAGCCTGATAGAAACACAGGTGAGCTCGATAATGCATCCTATCGGATCTTGATGAAATCTTGAAAGCTTCGGTTAGATAAAATGTTAAGTAATAATAACCTGCAGGATATTGTATTTATGGTAAACTGATGAAATAATATACATGAATCTAGCGTTTGAGTATTTCAATGTGTGAATATT